GATAGAGCACGGTTTAGGGCTGTTGTACATAGGGTCGCTATAAGTCGCAAAAGACTCAATGGCACATAACAACAACATTAAGTATATTATAATATCATCTGCATATAGAGCCAGTTTTATCTCCTTATTTATTGCCAATTTGGATACCTCTTATTTCCTTCTTGTTGCTATTTCTAAGACTTCCAATACAATATTGAATAGCAGAGGTGATAATGGACATCCTTGTCTACTCTCTCCTTAATCTAATCCCTATGCACATCAGAAAACATTCTCCAACATAGGAAAACAGGGGGGGGGAAGGAAAGCCACAAACTGGGAAAAATATCTGGTAATGACATATCTGATAAGGAATTCATACCTAAAATTTATGGAATACTCCAGCACTTCAAGAAGAAAAAAAAGTGAATAACCTAGACACAAATTGGACACAGGATATGAGCAGACACTCCACCAAAGAAGACATTCTGATGGCAAACAAACACATGAAGAAATGTCCAAAATCACTAGCTATCAGAGAGATGCAAAAAAGAACAACTATGATATATCATCAAACCCCCAATAATAACTGGAAAATTCAACACAGCAGCAAACAATAAATGCTGGTGATGTTGTGGAGAGATTGTAACCCTTATTCACTGCTGGTGGGAGTGTAAAATGGTGCAACCACATGGAAGGCAGTTTGGTGCTTTCTCAAAAACTTGTAAATAAATACCTTTTGACCCAGCAATGCCACTACTGGGGACATACTCTAAAAAAAATCAGAACCACCATCCAAGCAGATTCACACACACCGATGTTTATTGCTGTATTATAATAATAAAAGAGGTGCCCATTAACAAATGAATGGATAGAAAAAGGATAGTATATTCATACAGTGGAATACTATGCAGCACCAAAAAATATTAAAGCCGTAAAACATTATACAACATAGGGGACCTTGGAGACATCATGCTGAGTGAAATAGCTCAGTCACAAAAGAACAAATACTCAATAGCACCACTGTAATAAAATAGGTCTGACATGGGGGCTTGGGAGGAGAGCAAAATAAGAGTGGATAGATAAAGACCACTGCATTGGAACTGCTTAAAAGGGATGTATGATTAGTCTTTATGCATACAACAATAGCCCAGAATAAGAGGTATGTTATTGAAAAGAGGACAGGGGGTACAGGGGAGGTAGGTAATTGTGCAACAGTGAATGAATATTTTTTTAAAAATAGTGAACTTGGAGGGGGGAAGGGAGGAAGAGAGAGTAAAATGTGCAACAATGAATGAATGAAAAGCTAACTTTTCTGTAAATTTTGATTAAAATCAGAACTAAAGTAAAAACTTTTATTTAAAAAAACCATGTTGTTGTTATGTGCTGTCGAGTTGCTTGCGACTCATAGTGACCCTACGTACAACAGCCCTAAACTCTGCTCTGTTCTGTGCCAATCACACTGTGTCTGACACTCCCATCCTGATTACCCCAGTCACTGAATCAATCCACCTCTTAGAGGGTCTTCCCCTCTTGTGCTGTCCCTCCACCCTACAAAGCATGATGTTTCTCTCCAAGGATCAGTCCCTCCTTACAACATGTCCAAAGTATGTAAGATGGAGCCTCAGAATCCTTGCCTCCAGGGAGCCACCTGGTTTAACCCTCTCCAGGATGAATCTGTTTGTTTTCCTAGCAGTCCATGGTACCCTCAATACTCTTCTCCAGCTCCACAGCTCAAAGGCATCAATTCTCCTTCTGTCCTCCTTAGTCACTGTCCAACTCTCTGATGCATAACAAGTGATTGCAAAGACCATGGCCTGTATCAGACACACCTTAGTCTCCAGAGAGACATCATTGCTCTTCAGTACTTTAGAGAGGTCCCTAACAGCAGATTTTCTCATGGCAATGAGCCTTTTAATTTCCTGGCTACTGGTGCCAAGAGTGTCGACTGGGGAGCCAAGTAAACTAAAGCTGTGAACAATCTCAATCTCTTCACCATCCATCCTGATGCTGTCAATTGGTCCAGTGGTAAGAATCTTTGTCTTCTTGACATTGAACCTCAATCCATATTGAAGGCTGCAGTCCTTGACCCTCTGCAGCAAGTGCTTCAGGTCCTCCTCAGTTTTCTTCACTACCACCACCATTTAAAGACACAGGTTATTTCCTATGATGCAACCATTCTGGAAGGCAGTTTGGTGCTCCTCAAAAAGCTGAACATAGAAATTCCATATGACCCAGCTATTCCACTATTTGGAATATACCCTGAGAAAATGAGAACTGACGCACAAACTGAGACTTGTACACCAATCTTCATGTTGATGTTGTTGTTGTTAAGTGCTGTCAAGTTGTAGACGGCTCATAGCTCATATTAATGAAAGACTTGAGCACTGTTTATAGTTTCTGGAGGCAAGCCATTTTGGAAGTGATGTTACCCCTGCTTCTAAGCTTGTTTTAATTGGGAAGCTCCACAAAACACTGTTCACCATGGGTAACCATTATTGCATTTGGCACATCAGTGTCACAGTATTTAGCATCACAGCAACCACGAGTTACCTCTGTACAGCAATGCACAGACCAGTGCTATACCATGCAGAAGAATGTTTGACAAAAATATACTAGGCCTGAGTGCCGCAGATTAAAATCATCCAACTTGCACTTGGTAGCATAACTTCCTGTCTACTAGGCCAACCAGTCTTCATATCAGTGTTATTTACCATCACAAGAACATGGAAACAGCCCAGATGTCTAACCACAAATGAGTGGGTTGAGAAATTCTGGTACATTCACACAATGGAATACTATGCAACACACAGGAGCAATGATTTTGTAAATTATTACCTAACTTGGGAAGGCCTGGAGAGCATTATGCTGTGTGAACTAACTCAGGACAAATATTGTATAA